TTATTTTTATCTTATGTGTATGGGTGTTTTGCCTCAATGTATGTATGTAGACTATGTATGCCTAGTGCCCACAGAGGTCAAAAGAAGGTCTCACACTCCTCTGAAACTGGAGCTACAGAAGGTTATGAGCCACCATATAGATACTGGGAATGGAACCTGGGATCTCTAGAAGATCAGTCAGTGCTACTAATTGTTAAGCCATCTCTCTAGCCCCCAAAAGATATTTAATTTTTGTTTTTATAAACCCTTATTTTAATCCCTTTTCTGAGCAAATACAAAGGAATATTTGTAGTTTTTCCGTATCCTGATTACCTATGGCTCATTCATACTAAGTTTCCTCTTACTACAACCCTGAATTATACATAAAGATGTCTTTACCTTTACTTAGGTGTGTACATCTATGTGGGTATATGTCACAACTTCGCAAGTGCTCACAGAAGCCACAAGATGGTTTCCATAACTAGAGTTACAGGCAGTTGATTGACAACTGCTTCTCTTGGGCGTTGGGAATCCAACTCAGTCTTTGAAAGAACAGCAAATGCTCTTACCCACTGAGCCATCTCTCCAATTTCCAGAATTTCAGTTTAAATTCTAATATAGTTCCATGGCTGAAAGGGTGATTAATAATAGTAATCATAATACTAACAATGGCTGCCAAGTGTGATAGCTCACATTCTGACCCCAACACAAAGTGACACTGAGGCAGGAGAACACTACCATTGCGTGTTATCCTGTGTGTGTGTGTGTGTGCGCACACACAATCTACAACAAAAAAGAACGCGTAGCCGGGGTGCCAGCACACACCTTTAAAGCCTTTAATCCCAGCACTAGGGAGGCAGAGGCAGGTGGGTCTCTGAGTTCAAGGTCAGGACAGGCACCTAAGCTACAAGAAATCCTATCTCAAAAAATAAATAAATAACAAAAACAACTGGTATCAGGCCAGGTGTGGTAGATTACTCCTATAATTCCAGCCTTGGGAGGAAGAGACAGAAAGATCAAAACAGGAGTCCCTGTCTCAAAATGAGATCTGGAGGAAGGAGAAAATGTTGCCAAACACATTTTCTTTGAAGCACTCACGTCTAGAATTATCATCCCAAGCTCTTCGTGTTCTTGTTAGTAGTGGTATAAAAACCAGTGATCCAAGCAGGACTGATCAGGTCCTCGCTGATGCCCACGTTTTTCCCCAGCAACAGCTGCCTAAGCTACAAAAGGCACCTTACCTCTTACACTGTTCTTTAGACTGATTGCCAAGAAAAGCCAAACCTTAGAATCTTCCATTATTTCCAGAAACTTTGTTCTGAAGCTAGCTGTGATGACACATGTCCACAGTACCAGCAACATAAAGAAGAGGCAGAAGGGTCAGAAGGAATCACAAACACAAGGTGGGTCCTCACTATGTTCTCAAGTTTGGGCCAACCTCAGCCAAATGAGATTCCCAAAGATAGGGTTGGTGAAATGTCTCAGTGGATAAAGGCACGTACCACCAACTGTAAGGACTGGAGTTCAATCCCGAGAACCCACACGTAGGAAAAACCAGACTCTCCCTGACTTCCACACCTGTGAACTTAGCTGAAACAGGTGCAGGCCCCTCCCCGACTCCCACAACGAAATAAATGTAAACAAAAAGATCTAAACTAACAGGCTAGTGAAAATGTCAAAATTACATGGGAATCTAATTCATGTTGTTTAGCTCCCAGTCTCACCTGGAGCCTTAGTCCCATCAAGTTCCTTGACTAGAGAAGACTGAGCACCTCCGTTAGCAGACACTGAGATAGGTGATACAGGGATAGAGACAAGACAGTACCCACTCACAAGCTGGGTCTTCACAGTCTGGGTGAAAGACATAATCTTTAATAAAGAATGATGTATTTATTAGATACATGATAATACATTTATTAGAACTACCTCCTATAAGCCTGTCACTAGAAGGTGGTATCATTCAACCCAAAGGGCTGAAAATTCTCTGGAAGAGGAAATTTCACTAATGAGCAAATGAAGGTGGAAGCCAATTTCCAGAAGTTAAAAACGAATAAAGCTGCCAGCAGTGGTGGTGGGCACCTTTAGTCCCAGCATTGGGGCAGAGGCGGGCAGGCCTCTAAGGTCAAGCCTGCAGAGAGTTCAACAACAACCACAACTGTCTCAATATAAGAGGTCTAGTGATGAGCTCAGGGGCAGGGCCCTTGCCTGGCCTGTGTGAGCCGCCGAGTTCTAGCCCCAGCTTGGTCAGAGTTCACACGGTACCTGCACAGCTCATCCAGCTCCACCCGCACTAAGGACACCGGTCTTTTACACACACTACTCCAATTTCATCTCTTTAGGTAAGGACTAAAGCACTCCTCCTATAGCAAGGCTTCCTTTATTTTAGTTCCAGCTATTATGTCCATTCTCTCCGGGAAATGGCAGTGTATCTCTGGTTAAATCCATTGACTTTGTGGTCAATCAGACCAGGATAATCCATTTAGATAGTGAGATATTCAGAAAATCTCAGCTTCTGAGTACCAAATTCCTTTTCAAAAAATGGTTATTAAAAATTAGGTAGATAGTCTATGCAAAACGCTTAGCACACAATAAAATAAAACAATGAGAGAGGGTGGGGGACAGGAGAACCTAGAGGCACTAACAGGGACCAGCACCTACCATAACAGAAAAAGGAATCATACTGAGCTAAATATTTTGCTAGTGCAATAGATAGTGATCCTAGCTGAATCCTGTCTCCCCCATCCCTAAGACGCCAACTATTTAATAAACCTAAGGCTGGGATGTAATTATAGGAAGCTTTCCTTCTATTTTAAAGCAGCACAGAACGTGTCCGTGCCAGAGTCCTCAGAAAGGCGCGAGAGCTCTAACCAGCCATGAGCCCCCACACACCTGAAACAGACCACCACCTCACTCACCTAACAAAGACACTAAGCAATTTATATAAAAAGCAGACAAGGAGAGAAATCTGTACAATGCATACTTATCTGTCATCATTTTCAACCAAAATCAATATAAAAAGCACAGCAAATAGTAATAATAGCAAAATAAAAGATTACTTATCTGTACCCTTTCCTATGATTCCTGAAAGAACCAACAGAGGTGAAGTAAAAGACAATAATCTTCCATCTTAACACCTCAAGACGCTCTAGACTCCACTGCAAGCCAAACAACGGCTTAGTTTGTAACAATAGTCCTGGACCCCGGCGCTGTTCAGCCCAGCTACACAAAGCCCAGTTTCGGAGCCGGACCCAGACCCGGATCACCAGCAGTCATCCAGAACCGATTTTCAAACTGCCTTTGTACTCCTCCTTCAGACGCTCATCCCTCCCCCTAAGGGCTGAGCGAGAAACCGACACTCTGGGGCACCAGACCAACCTTCCACAGACCCACCAAGAAACCTCCAAAGAAAAAGAATTTCAAAGGAAAATTGAAAAAAAAACTAGAAATGAGAACTATAGCCCAACTGACTGTACACGTTGTCTTTTTTCTTTTTTTTTTCCAACTACTTCTCTTTATTCTGAGGCGCAGACGTCAAATTCTTTCTTGTAACCCTCGCCCAGACGATATGGAAAGGGAAAGAGGAACAAAAGTTGTTTCCTCCAGAAGCCACAACCTCACAAGGATAAAATCATCTTGCAAGGAATGTCTTCACAGAAGAAAAAAACTCAAGGAAGTGTTCCAGTCTAAAAAGAATGGGGGCAGGGACTACAAAATCAGAAAATAAAAGATTCATAACAATTTAAAGGTAATGAGCAGCTTATACATTAAGACCCATCTTACTACAATTAGAGCAGTATCTGTTCCAGCCCGAATTCCCGTACTGATTCCCATTTTAAAAGAAGAGTACCCTATTTTGCAGCTACTGATGAGTTGGCTATATAATTATCTGGGATCAGTACATTTGCAAGAATGTATGTGCAAAAAACAAAACCAAGCAAATCAGAAGACCAATCCTAAAGCATGAAGCAGAGTCACAGGCCTTTAACAGTGCTCTAACTTACTGCTAAGTTAGCCAAGCAAACACACAAACAAAAGACAACTTTAAAAAGCACCTTTCCAGTTGCTTAAAGATGAAATTCCCTTTGTGCTTTCTCAAGTGGGTTTTGCAAATTCACGTTTTCATTAAGTGGTTTCTCTTCGCCCAACCCTTCACAATCTAGGGCCCTCTCAGAAACCGAAAGGGCTGAAGACTTTCAGGTGTTCTGCCGCTTTGCTTGGGCCAACAGAAAGCACGATTACAATTCCTTACCCTGGAAAGCACCATTATCATATTTGCAGGTTTAACATACAACACCTTCACAAATCTCTACCATCCAAAGTAACTTTAGGTTTAAAAAAAAAAAAAAGCGGTGGCAATTCAGTTAACAGAGATCCACTTGTTTTCCAAGGCAAAGCAAAGAGGCTCCTTCAAACAGGCGAGGCTCCCACCCACACCTGGAGAAGTAAGGGATCCACCCAGGAACAGCAAAGCTGCAACCATCCGGGCCCTTCAAACTCTCAGGAGGAAACAACAATACTATTTAAGCTCTAAAGCTCCCTGCAACTTTCCACTGCCACAGATTTGAAGGTGAGGGGGCTGGAAGTTTTTAAACATGGTAAGAGCCATCTGTATAACTCTCCCGACCAGGACAAATCCCTTTCACAACCCACACACAACATGCCAAAAACTAACTTTTTGAGTTATGAAAACAGAAGTATGTTAGCTTAACCCAGAAAAATAAAATAAAAATACATACAAAAATGTAATCTACATAACTTCTACCTCTGGTTCTAACCAGCTTCCGGTATTACACCTAGTACATTTACCTTTGCCTTAATATAAATACCAAAATACGTCCAAACTATTAAAAGTAGAAAAACATAATTGATAAGAAATTCACCGTCAGCATTAACAGGCTCTCTTGCCTTTTTTAACTTCCCCCCAGTTACCATTAAGACAAAAATTCCACTTGGGTTAGCCTTTCCCCAACTGGTCATACACACATTTTTAGAAAAGAAAAAAAAATGAAAAGAGCACACACCTCAGATGTGGACTTCTAAAGCCGATCCTTTAAGAGAAAACCCAAAGCTTCAGCAGTGTGCTGAGAAAGAAAATCCAACGAGGTTCGCCACCGCTTCCTCTTCCTCGTTTCGGGATCTTTCCTGCCTCTTTCCCTCTCCCTCCGCGTCTGTCTCTGTCTCTCCCTCCCTTCCTCCTGCTCGACCCCCCTTCTCTCTCTC